CAAGGATCGTCGTCTTATAGTTCTCATCTGATCTTGTGTATCTATAATCTCTACAAAGATCTGCATGCCAGCACGGAGGTGCCTCCCGAGCCTTGGTTCCAATATGGTTGATGGTGTTGGAACCCCTTGGGCTCAAGGGTGGCGCGCCCTGCTAGTGTCAGGCAAGTTGCCCCGGTAAGGATCTTGCCAAGGCTGCGGAAGCCACCCCGGCAAGGGTCTTGCCGCGGGAGTCCACCTCGCCCTCTTGCTCTCTTTGCGTCTCTGGTCTTGGCGTTGCTTTGGCCGTCTTGTGCTCCGGCTTCCCTCCTCTGCCTTGCTTAGTGTAGCCGTGGGCGCGGCTCTAACTGCCCGTGCACAAGTAAATGGGTGCAAAAGGGGAGCCCCTACTTTTGTACACCGACAGAGTACATCCAGATGTCTAAGAGCACACATGTGGAGATGCCATGCTAAGGTTTGCTATTATAGTGGTCAAGGTGTTTGGACCTCATTACTTGAGAGAACCAATTGCCGCAAACACCAAAAGCCTCATGACAATGTCTGAAGCAAGAGGGTGACCAGGTATCCCCGGATCTCTTGATTGCATGCACTGGAGATGGAAGAATTGCCCAAAATATTTACAAGGGCAATATCAGGGCCATGTTACCACCGTCATTCTTGAACCTATTGGATCACATGATCTCTGGATTGGGCACACTTTGTTTGGCATGCCCGGGTCTCATAATGACATCAATGTGCTACACCGATCTCCATTGCTTGCTAGGTTGACTTAAGGACAAGCTCTTCCGTGCAACTATATTGTCAATGGGCATGACTACAAGATGGAATACTATCTAATTGACGGTATCCATCCTCATGGATGACCTTCGTCAAGACTATCTCCAAGCCAGTTGGTCAGAAAAGAACTCACTTTTCCCAAAGACATCAAGGAGCTAGAATGGATGTGGAGAGGGCATTTGGAGTGCTCCAAGCCCATTTTGCTGTTGTTTGTGGACCCGCTAAACAATGGGATCCATAGACCTTTTGGAAGGTGATGACATGTTGTGTGATCGTGCACAACATGATCATGGAGGATGAGGGTGAAGATGTCACCGGAGGTCTAGAATTCAAAAACATGTGCGATCCTATCCAACTTCCAAATCAGAATCCGTCCATGTTTGATGATTTTGTCGAAAGCATTAACAAATTGTGGAGAGGGCATTTGGGGTGCTCCAAGCCCATTTTGATATTGTCTGTGAACCCGCTAAACAATGGGAACCATAGACCTTTTGGGAGGTGATGACATGTTGTGTGATCATGCGCAATATGATCGTGGAGAATGAGGGTGAAGATGCCACCAGAGGTCTGGAATTCAAGAACATGTGTGATCCTATCCAAGTTCCAAATTAGAATCCGTCCATGTTTGATGATTTTGTCGAAATGCATCAACAAATTCGGCATTGAGCAACTCATGAACAACTTAAGAAAGATCTAATCGAGCATCTGTGAATCCTAAAAGAGAACAAGTAGAACATATGTGCGAGTTGAATTCAAGATTGAACTATTTTATTTCAAAACCTAGTTGGATTCTAATATTTGCATTTGAACTACTGTCGCATTTTAATATTTTCACTCGAAGATTTGATATACTATTATTTTGAGTGTCGCGGACTTCAGAAAAAAACAGGGGCAGACGTTTAGGGGATAGGGTTGGATGGCCGGCTCCCATATCTATGTCCACAGACGAGTCCGGATCAGTCCACTGACAAATAGCGTCTTTGCTTTTACGATCGGCGTTGGAGATGCCTTAGCAACCAAATGAAGCCTCAACGTTCAAGTTTGTCCATCTTTAACGTTGGCTCCTTGCCATGTTAAAACTTTTGCCATATCATAATTTGCAGCTGGGTCTTATTGGTCAAGTAGTGTCAACTCATGCTTAGAGGAAGTATAGTAAGTGACATTAGGCAGGTTGTATTTCCTTGCCATGTTAAAACTTATGCCATATCGTAATTTGCAGTTGGGTCTTACATTAGGCAGGTTGTAAGAGCATCTATGATTTGGAAAATCAGCGCCCCCCCCCCCCCCTAACGCCCGCGGACGCATCCAAGCGTGACCTAGGAGAGCGTGGGATGGCCCCTCAAAATCCTTGTTGGATAACCAAACTGCTCATGTCAAAATTCTTTGCAAATCCATGCACGTTTATGTCGGTCGCATAGCACAAATTCATCACCAATTCAACAATGAAACAAAGCAAAATAAACCACAATTCAAACACGCCAAAATGAAATTCAACATTCGGGTCACGTCTAGCCAACATGATGAATCACTCGTCAGGCACTAACCGAGTAGCGTTTGCTGCTGCTATGGCTGCCTTCGCCCCTTCGTACTCCCTGCGCAGGTTGATCTCCTTCTTCATCGCCTTAAGCCACTTTAGGCGGTAGACTATTATCGGTCATGGGCGGGGTGGGTGGTGGGTTCCTTGTCGACAGCAGGGCGGATGCGTGCGAGGCGGGCGGCCGCAGCGGAGGGGACACATCGATGTCGATGTTGACCACCTCCTTGGACAACTTCCACTGCATCTCGCTCGCGTTGGTGGGCACGCCGCTCCCTCCGGTCGACATTCTTCGCCTTCCAGCTGACTGCCACATGCAGGGCGGAAATGGACTCCGCTGAGGCATCATCCATCTTGGCGGTGGGGGACGGAGTACTCAGCGATGATATCTACGACGGTGGACAAGGGTGGCGTCGCGTACGGGGGAGCAAGGGTGGAGGACGACGATGGCCCGGACACGGATAATAGATGACGGATGCGAGAGGAAGGCAGACGTTTTGGTGGACTTGGTCAATTTGGTGGAATTTGGGGTGGGTCCGGCCTGTCTGGTCCGGTGTGGTGGACGCACACGGGCGTGTTCGACCTCCCCATATCCGCCCTAGATATGGGTTGGATATGAGCGGCGTCGGTCAGCCCAGACGAATAGGTCCGGTTTGAAGGGGTCGACTGGTCACAACTTCGTGATAAGTCACTCACTGGGCCGTCCCTCGGATCGTACATGGGCATTTGAGAAGCCGGGTTGTAGATGCTCTAAGAGATGCCACATCAGACTTGAGAGAAGAGAAGAGAAGCAGGCTATATATTTATAGTTGATGGTAACACGGGCTTCAACATCCTTCCTAAGAGAAAAATATGATTCACTTCACATGTAATGGGTTCAAATACAATCGCAGATGCTTACATAGACTCATCCCTACACCCACCATGCTCCTATGAGCACCACAACTCCCTCACTAAACAAACGTCATCTTTAAGTCTGAAATAAATCAAAAAAATGAGAGCATGAGTGCCAAGTCTAGAAGTTGAATGAATATCATCGAAAGGTCTGAAATAAATCCAAATAATACAAGTACCAGTGCCAAGTCTAGGGCTTGAACCCCAATGGATTGGCTCCACCAGCAGGAACCTAATAATCTGAACTACGTTCAGTTCCCTAATCCCTATGATTCATATATTAATGACATAGCACAAAATATGACTTATTCCCTCCATTCGAAAATACTTGTCATTAAAATGGATCAAAGGAGATGTATCTAGATGTATTTTAGTTCTAGATACATCCCATTTTGTCCATTTTGATGACAAGTATTTTCGGACGGAGAGAATACTATTATATGAGTAGGCTATTAGGTTGATTATAAGTAACATCACAACTCCATACAACGGGTTGATGGGCTATTATTAGATATATACTAGGTGGCCATATAGCTGCCGGTCCGTGCTATTTCAAAAATGCATTACATAAGATCAGTTTCAATTTCTTTAAAGAAAAACGAAAACGGCGAGAGGTTTTGAAATTATTCTGGTTGTTGTGATGTCTTTTTTTTTTGCAATTAACTTTCTTCTGATGATCAATTCAACCTCTCATAGAAAAGATAGACCTTGGTTCTATTTCATCTCTTCAACCAAATTTAATAATACCCCCGCAGAAAAAAAACAAGTTTAGTACTCCCCCTTCCAAAATACAAGGCGTGATTGACTTTGCACGGTCTTTGATGCACGACTTTGACCACTAATATATGTCAAAGTACCTAGATCGAACATGTATAAATGGCATCATCATATTTGTCTTGCAAAACAGTTTTTTTCATATACATGTATTTTAATTTTATAGATATCCAATACGTGAAAATCATAGTCGAAGTTGTGCAATGAAGACCAAGAAAGTCAATTGACGCCTTATATTTTGGAAAGGAGGGAGTAAAAAGCACAACGGCCCTATTGTGCCGATTGAGAGAAGAACCTACAATTAGCTTTTCAAAAAAATTCCAAACAAACAATTTCAACAAAATCTTTCAATTTCTCATTTTATTATGTTCAACTTATGTATTCCTCTATCCTTAGAGTACATTGGATGTACAGAAATGGCTATAACAGAGTTTCTCTTATTCATATTAACAACTACTCTAGGGGAAATGTTTTTATGTGGTGCTAACATTTAATAACTATCTTTATAGCTCCAGAATGTTTCAGCTTATGTTTCTACCTATCTATTGTATGGATATACCAAGAGAGATCTACGGTCTAATGAGGCTACAATGAAATATTTACTCATGGGTGGGGCAAGCTCTTCTATTCTAGTGGCTATCTATCTAGTAAGTTTTCTGAAAAAACAGACCAGCTGGAAGGTAGCATTTCTCCACAATATAAATATTTCTGAAGAGACCATATAGCAGTTTTCAGTATACAATATATGCACAAGTAGGCCATCACAAGAAATACCTTATATTAGGTGCCTATTTGAACGTGCATGACAAACAATTGAGTAACTAAAAGACCAGTAATTGATTTCCCACTATATATGCCATCCATTGAGTGATGATATGCTATACATGAACTAGTTGATGCTTTGTTCATCGAAGAGTTACAAGGGACTTTTTGGATCGCACTAATTGCACCGAAAACGGCTTCATTCTTGAAGAAATCGAGATATTACCGTCTCCAAAACAAGGTCTGGATCCAATCTTTCAATCTAGCAATGTAGAGCCAAAACTTCATCCTTGTTGTCTTGTCTTGGCACATCTGCCACTTCAATCTCACAAGAAACTGAACTGGAGGGGAGTACGGCATTAGTACTAACTTTTCTGAAAGCCAAGTAAATGACCGCTGCAATATAGGCCGCCATGAAAGGGAAGACGAGGGTGCTAATTATTGCTTTAGCAAATCTTGGTAGGTCACTATATACAAGCCAACTGACGAAGCTAGTACAAAAGAAATAAGTATTGATGCCGATGATCACCAACGACAGGATCCATGATATTCTCGTGATCTGCACAAATTTAAGGTGCAACAAGAACGAATAAATTCAAATCCATGTTGCAAAAGTTTATTTTAAAACAAATAGAAATAGCACAACCTAAACAAACGAATTATTTTATGGCATCATCGATGAATAAGAAAAGGGCCTTGTATGAATTTGCTGAAGGCATTGGTTTGTAGTCTCTCTTAGACGTGCTCTAGGGGTGAAACCCAAGATCCGACCCTCAGTGGTTGGACCCGACAACGGTGGAGCCTGCGCATCATTTCCTTTTCCAAGGCGTTGCTTTCGGAGAACCTTTCTTGTAGTTCATGTGCTTTCAGGTACAGTGGATGGTGATGCTGCTTATCTGTTGCAAGTCTTTGGCCGCGTCGTCTCTCTTTGTTTTTCCTCCTTAATCTTTCTGACTTTCTGCATCCTCAAAATCTTGATGGTCTTGATATTGTGTCATTCCAAAGGCCATGTGTAATTTGACATCATTTTGATACGAAAATATTACTCCGAGGAGAATGAGAAACCAAGAGGCGATGGCGTTTGAATCGGGATCTGGCGACGACCCGGGCGACTGCCCCGACCCCTGCCCCTCCGCCGCACCGGCGCCCGCCGGCGAGCCCCCTAGCGTCGCCCTCCGCCCACCGACTCCTCTGGAGGCCTCGTCGCTGCCCATGCCGGCTCGCTGGGCCGTCCTCGCCGAGGATGCGGATCGGGCGGCTGGCCTCCCCATCCAACGCCGCGACCGCGCCCCACCTCCTCCCCGTAGCCTCCCGGTGCTAACTAGTGTGGATGGCGGCTCCGTCGCCATCTCGCGGTCTCGCCGGAGCGCTCGGCCACCGAGCCCTGCTCGGCCGCCAGTGGGACAAGGCCTGTCCTTACAGAGGGGTGGGGGTCGCCGTCGCCACTCTTGGGGTGTGGCCGGCCATTCCGACATAGGCTCCGCCAGGTCGTTGTGGCGCTCCAACAGGATTCCCTTCCGCACATGCTCCGGCGCCGGCGTTGACCACCGGCTCCCCCATGCCTCTCCGGCCTGCCGTTGCCCACCGCTCCCCTTCCGTCTGTTCATCGCGTCGCTCTGTTCATCTAGCCTCCAAGTCCACACGTCCCTGCACCTGCGCCGCCCGTGGTTGGCCCTGGCTCTGCCCCCATTGGCATCACCGGCGGCGGCAGCGCCCGCTCGGGAGGAGGTTTCCCCTCGGGATGGCTCCCATCTCCGCCCCTGGGCCGCGCGCATCTGGCCTGGCCCCGCATGTGCCCTTCGGCTGCGGCCGCTCGCCCCACGTGGGCCTTCGGGCATTGGGCCGGCCCACCCTGCCTAGGATTTCCCAGGCCCAACCTCGACCTAGACCGCCGCCGTGGGGGAATCAATCTAGACCCCTCGGGGCTTTGTTGTCGCTCCCATCCTCTCATCGCGTCTCCAGTCCCCCTCGTCTGCTCTCGAACTCCCTCCCCTCTCCCCGAACAGCGCCGCCGCCGCCCCGATCCCTACCTCCTCTGGCCCCGCCCCCTCTGACAGCGGATCCCGTGATGACTCAGGAGTGGGAGGACGACTGCGCCCGCGGCAAGCGTCGCCTCGACGACTACCGCGACCCCCCGCGCCCTCTCCTGACGCTCTCCGGCACGAAGACAACCTCCGTCGCCAGCTGTCCGCGTGGGACGGTCGCCGGTCGCCGCTCCCCCGACCAGCGCTTGTCTGGCCGCTCCGACCGCCGGGGCCGATCGCCCTCCCCCCTACCGCCTCAAGACTGGTGCGGGGCGCGCCGCCGTTCCCCCTCCCCGCCTCGCAGGCGCGACTGCAGCTTGTCCCTGGGCCGCACTAGTCGGACGCTGCCCCACCGGTCCCAGCCCCTGCCATCCCCGGCTCCTCCACGTCGCTACCAGCCGCCTCAGATCAACCCATAGCTCCCCCGGCGGCCGGCACAGGCAATGGCGCCGGTCCATCCCGAGGCCGTCAGGGGACGACCAAGAAGAAGAAAAGGCGGGGCCAGGGCTACGTCACCCGGAGCGCCAACATCACCCTCGCCCTCAACAAGCTCATGGTGAACATCTCTGCGCTGATACGTGACCATAAGCCAGTAGCGACCCTTAACACGGCGTGGATCCTCATCTCCGGCCTGCCCAATATTGCAAGGTCGGAGCGAGTGATTCGCAACATGTCCAGGATCCTGGGCAAGGTGGTCATGGTGGATGAGCTCTTGCTCCGCAAGGAGGAGGAGGTCCGCGTCAAAGTCAAGGCCCTCGAGTCCTCCAAACTTCGCGCCACGGTCCGCGTGTTCTTCAACGACAAAGGCTTCGACCTCAAGATTGCACCTGTGCCACCCAAACACGTGGGCTGCCTCCACTTCTCCGACGACTCGCACTTGGGTGGCGGTCCGGGTGGTGATGATGACTACCGTGGTCGCCATCGGCGCTCTCACCGCTCTGACGATGAGGAGGGCTCAGACGACTGCCGCTCCCCATCCCCTCCGCTTGATCCTCCGGCTCCCACGACTGCTCGGAGAGGAGCTTCAACCGGTCGTTCCCATGGGCTTATGCCCCTCTTCGGGGACCCGTCGGCCTCCCCCATGCCGAGTGCGCGCGACGCCCTTGGGGCCGGCTCTCTGGTTCCGTTGGGCACTATTTCTCCTGCCGGTCCGGCCGACTCCTCCGGCACTTCCAGTGTAGGAATGCTCGTCCTTCCGATGACATCTCCGCGCTCCCCCACCTTGGACGCCGCTTTCCTCCACCTCCCCGACCCCGGTGACGGTCCTGATGCCTCCCCTCGGCTCCTCGCCACCGGTCCCGTCGATGCTCCCAGCCCGGAGGACCCCCCCTGGCGCTGCTCTGGCCGCGGCCCCCCACTGCCCCGGCTCGAGCTGCTGGTGTGTGCTCCGCCGACTGGGGTGAGGACCGACGCGTCTCCTCCAGCCTAGTCTCGCCTGCCCGCCACCCCCACCTCTCCCCTGTCAGCCATGGGGAGTGGGATGGCCTCTGTCCTGTCTATGCATGTGGCTGCGCCACCCCACCCGCCACGGATTGCTGTCTACTCCAGGCGTGGGCACTCGACCTCGACTCCGGTAACGTCCTCATGGCGCAGCGCCCGGATCGATGCTGCTCGGCCGGCTGGCAGCCCTGCTCTGCCCATCCCGGAGCGGGCAGAGCTTTAGGCCGCGGCCCGCAACCTCGAGCCAGGTACCCCAGTCATCCCAGCTAGTTCTTCTACATGCCCGTTTTCTGCCTTGGAGTCGGCTCCTCTTGGGCACTTAGCTAAGGTCGCGGCCGACTCCGCTATAGTTTCCAGGGGGGAGGTGACTCCCTCCTTAGTCCAGATCAAGGCAATCCGGGCCCGGGAAATCCTGGATAGAGGTTGGTTGAGGCTCGTGCTCGCATGGCCACGCCCCCTCCCCCTGTGGCCAATGGACCTCACACGTCCACCCAGTCAGATAGCCAAGCCCCGCAAGCGGCCCTGGAGATCCGTGGCCGCACCCGCTCCCGCACCGCCGCCCTCCGTGCCCAAAGCACCTCACGTGTCCTGGGGTCAAGCGGCCCCCCGATGGCAGCTTAATGCGGACCCTTTTTTGGAACATTCACGGTTTCGGCCAAGGCCGGCACCGTCAACTCATCGAGTACAAGCGAGATGAGCGGATAGACATCGTGGCAATCCAAGAGACCATGCGCACAGAGTTCTCCTTGTCTCAGCTTGAGTGGCTGAGCACCCACATGTTTGCCTGACATTGTCTCCCTTGTAGTGGGATCACCGGGCACTCGGGTGGCATCCTGCTAGGTGTCAAGGATGCCACCTTTGAGGTGGGTGGTATGGATAGGGAGAGTTCTTTGTCAGAATGGAGTTATTCGAGCGTGCTCTCAACTTCAAGTGGGATATCATCATTGTCTATGGCCCCGCTAACCACCACCGATCTGCGTCCTTCCTTGATGAACTCAAGACGAAGGTGCCGGCCGCGTGCTTGCCGGTCGTAGTGGGTGGTGACTTCAACCTCCTCCGTTTTGTGGAGGATAAGAGCAACGATCTAGTAAACTTTCCTCGGATGTAGATGTTCAATGATTGCATCGCCGAGCTTGGTCTGCGGAATTAGACAGGGTTGGTGCCAGATTCACCTAGACCAACCGCCAAGCAAACCCGACCCGCTCCGTTCTGGACCGCGTCTTGGTCTCGCCGGAGTGGGAGCATCGCTGCCCCCTTGCCTCCCTCTGTGCCATCACCCGGATTGGCTCGGACCATGTCCCTCTGCTCCTGTCTTCTCAGGATGACTGCCCACTCACTGCGCCTAGGTTTCGCTTCGAGACGTTGTTTCGCTGAGGCCGTTCGGGACTGCTGGATGGAGGCCCGGCTCGCCCCTCACCGGTCCATCTCGGCGGTGGATGATTGGTACTTCTGTGCCAAGCGCTCTCGTCAGTTTATGAAGGGTTGGGGCGCAAACCTCGGACGGGACCTATGGGATCGCAAGAAGGCCCTCCTCGCCTCCATCCAAGCACTGGACCTCCAGGCTGACTCGGTGGGACTAGCCCCCGATGAGTGGCTGCTTCGTTATGACCTTGAGGATCAGCTCACGGTCATTTACACCGACGAGGAGGCGTATTGGCGACTCTGGGGGACCCAAAAGTGGGTCCTCAAGGGTGACGCCAATACGGCCTATTTCTAGGTCATCACCAATGGTCGTAGGAGGCGAAATAACATCCCCTTGCTTTGGGATGGGGAAACCCTCCTGCAGCGCCTGGCCGAGATCCGTGCTCATGTCGATCGCTTCTATAAAGCCCTTTTTTCCGCCCCCTAGGGGAGGCTTGGCCCTAGCTACGGACTTCTGGATTGGTCCACAGTGCATCTTGCTCGCGGAAAATGCCGCCCTCATGGCTCCGTTCACTGAGGAGGAAGTCTGGGAGGCGATTAACGGAATGAATCCATTGTCCGCCCCTGGCCCCGACGATCTGCCGGTGAAGTTCTTCCAGACCTTCTGGACTGCCGTCAAGCCAGAGGTCATGGCCCTCTTTGAGGAGTTCTATGTGGGCCTTAACTACGGGAT